TCACAGTGTTTGCGTGGCAGCCTGGTGGACAGCTGACAGTTCTGTTCTCTTTCTGCCCACGTCTAAAGATGCACTGTGTGCAGTCACTGCTTTCAAACACTTCACCCACAAGACTGAAATTGACCAGGACAGGATGGTGCCCTTTTTCTGCATTTGGTTTCAGCTCTTTCATACCAGCTTTTTGCAGGAGCCTGCCAGCATAAGGGAACTTCTGCATGATTTAAAGGCCAGTTGCCACATGGGATAAAAGTTGAAGGTCTCAGCTGAAGCACAACACCATGCTGTGGTTTTGGGTTTTTTCAATGCATTTTTGGTCATTATCCTGATGCATCAGGGTTATGATTAATGTCACAGATGTGAGGTGAAAGCGTAACTGAGGTTGGTGGATGCTCAGATGCATACAGTGCTTTTGTAGTGGTGTTTGTGAATAATGTACTGAGCAATGAAAAACGTGCATGGCATCTTCATGAAGGAAGCCCCAAATCTATTATTTTAATAGATAAGATGATCTTCTTAGTCTTCTACATAAAAAGATAATGGGAACTGTTTGCATTAATTGGGCACGTATCCTACTTCAGTTAAGTGAAAACGTGCTTCAGCAGTATGAGAATGTTTCCTATATGATGAGTATTTCCTTCTAATACTGATGCATCCATTTTCTTCTGTAGAAGCAGCAGAACCAAGAAGCAGTGAATCAGCTGGAGAAGGTAAAGTATCCTATTTTTGGGCAGAGATAGAAATAGATACGTTCTTCTGAAGAGGAGAAAGCATAGCGGACTGTGGCACCAGCCTATGTGATCTTGTCTTACAGAGCTGTGGGATCACTTAGGTTGGGAAAAACTGTTAAAATCATCAAGTCAGTCCTCCTGTCTGCTCAGCACCACCAAGCACCACTAAACAATGCCTTTAAGCACCACATCACACATCTCCTGAATCGCTCCGGGGTGGTGACTCCATCACCTGGAGATCATCCTGGAGTCCGTTCTGTTTGTAGCATAGGGTTGAGTGTTGTGACTTCACAGGGTAGGCCTGGCAGATAGCTTGCTTGTTTTGATGAGAGCTAAGATTTAAATGCTCAAGTATTGGAAGGCTGCAGTGGAAGCAACAGATTAGAGTTTATGGCCTTGTCAGAAGTTTGCATTCCAAACACGGCCAGCATAAGGAACCTACTGTTGCCATTCTAGGATGGATAACCAATAAAGTAGTTTAAGAAATGGAAGACTGAAGCGTGGCTTTTAAAAATGATGATACCGGTTGGATGCTGGAAGTACCACCAATGAATCACTGCTTTTTTTGACGTAGAACAAGGGGGGGGGGTTACAATTTTGTGCTGAACAGGCATCATTTGTTTATACAGGAAAAGAAGGAGTTTGAACAGAAATTTTCTAAAGAGCAAGCAGCACTGAGAGAACAGCTCCAGGTAAGGCAGAGCTTTCACTACAGTAATATGACCTGGCTGCTGTTCTTTTCTGGATTACTGAGCACTCTGTTTTATCTTGGAAGCCAACATCCTTTCAGGAGAACTAGGAGAGCCAGCTCGCTAGATTGTACTTACGTGCAAGAGCTCTTTGTCTCACTGAATTGTCCCTTTGTGGCAGCAGGGATGTTGTGGTTGCGAGCAAAGATTCCCTGCACTGAGCTCCTTTTTCTTTCTCCAAGGTTCACATCCAGACGATTGGAATCCTAGTTTCTGAGAAATCTGAGCTGCAGACAGCCCTAGGACATACTCAGCAAGCTGCGCGGCAGAAATCAGGTAATTGACTCGGAGCACTGCAGCTTGAGCTGGTGGTTAAACCGTGGATTTCAAGTCAGAGGCAATGATGGCTGCTGGCTGCCAGCTCACAGCACTCCTTGGTTCCTTAATGAGAAATACTTGGCACCGTCACCGCTTCTGTCATCATAGCTGCCCCCAGATTGGAGCATGGTAATCCCATGGCAGTTGAGGTTCTTTTGTGCATCACTGAAGCCCTGTCAGCCCTGCTTGGGCCTGGTGACTACCCCAGACTGTTCTTTTCTCACTGTTCTTCAGATTCTTTTAAAACTCTGTTCCCTTTCATCACCCTTCCTCCCACACAGCTGTCACATTAATGTAGGTTTTACTCAGGCCTTTCATTCTCAACTGAATTTGAACAATTTGCCCTCATAGGGAAAAAAAAAGAAAAGCAAACATAGTGCCTATAGCTCTGCAAAGGACATTTCATCATCTCCCTCTAAAACTGAGAAAGGTAGTTGCTGACAGAGAGCTTTTCTGACTTGAAATCCGTGGTTTAACCAGCCCAAGGTTGCTGGTGAATCACCCATACTGCCAGGAGTGGAAGCAGGTCTACCAATTTAGAGCTCTGTGCTGTTTTAAGAGCTTGTTGATAAAGCAGAAAGTGCTGTTTAGCCTGTTCCAACAATCCCTTTGTGGTTCAGTCTCAACTGACTCTGCTCTGCCTCGCTTAGGAGAAGCTGAAGACCTTGCTGCTCGTTTACAGTCATCTCGCCAGAGGGTATCAGAGCTGGAACGCACCTTGTCCTCCATCTCTATGCAGCAAAAACAGTCAGAGAAGGTAAGAACCGCCTCTCATTATGCTTAATTAGCAGCTCTGCTTTTGGCTCGTTGCTTGTCACTACACTATTATGAAGTCTGTAGTCCCTGTTTAGAGAAGAGGCTGAAATTAACCTTGTTAATTGTTAATTAACCTTGTAAAGCCCTGTATTCTCATCAAGGCAAAGCTTTCATTCAGATTTCTGTGACCACTAATCATGTGGCCCAGTGGCTGTCTTCACATCTGGCACCTTTTTTACGTCAGTCTTGCCAGCTCTACACAGCAGCATCTCTGAGGCCTCCTCCCAGGAGGGCCTCCATCCAACAGGCACTTTACCATTGATACCCATCCAGAGGTTTTGCAGAAATAACCTCACCATCAGTGAGTAGCATTGTGTTCAGAGAGACTGAGCAGATGAATTGCTGGCAAATCCATCCTTTGTGCAGTCTCACGGTGTAATGAGCTGCAGCACTAACCAGCCAACTGTAGTGATAGGTGAGGTTCTAAGCAGACCTGTGCTGGGGATTTTGCTCAAGTTATGAGCTCTTCTGCACTAACTAATCTGTTAAAGGTAAAATAAGATAATCTTTGAACACTTTATTTGTATGGCTGAAATCTCTAACTGAATCAGACGTTTGTTTTTTCTCCAGCACAATAAAGAGCTGGTGAAGGAACGAGACAACCTGAAACTAGAACTGTACAAACAGAGGTAGGCCTGTTTTGTATATTATTCCAGAGTTATGCTGTTCTTCTCAATAGAGCCACAAAGCTTAGGAAGGGGCTTTGACCACGGTTGGTGAGCTGGGAGGCCAGATATTCAATGTAAAAACAATAATTTTAAAAGCCAAAAGATTAGGAGGGTAATACAGCAATGGAACACAGTGCCCAGGGGGCTGTGGAGTGTCTGTGCTTGGAGCGTTCACAACAGCTGCACAGAGCTGTGGGTAACAGGATCTGGTGGTAGCACAGTCCCACTTTGAGAGGGAGGTCAGACAAGATGTCCTGCAGAGGTTTCTTCCAGTCAACATTCCTGTGACTCTCTGCTGTAAACTTAATGACGTGGGCATCTGCAAAGACAGAATCACAGAGCTGTAGGGGTTGGAAGGGACCTCCAGGGATCATCGAGTCCAACCCCCCTGCCCAAGCAGGTTCCCTGCTTTTATACAGTGCTGCCACTTGGATTTGTTTGTTTGTTTCAGCAAAGGTAGTGAGGAAATAAAGCAGCAGAACTCAGAGCTGTCAGAGAAACTCCGCTCCCTGGTTTCTGAGAACTCAGCCATGAAGTTGGATGTGGAAGATTTACATAAGAAACTGGAAATGGCTGAACTGATGATTCAGCAGGTAATCACACTGCTGGGGTATGGGAGCAGATGACACTGATCATTTTAAGACTTGTTTCCTGGACACTGGGGGCAGAAGTAAATTACTGATCTGAAAGGCAGGCACAACATCCCATCCTTCAGGAAAAGGTTTTCTGTGAGCTCCCTGAGGAGCAGGAAGGCTGTGCTCTTAAGGACTTGGAGGAGACTGAAAGACATTGTGATGTCAGTCTGCAAAGAATGTGACGTGGTATGAGAAGGTGACTGAACATACAAGTGTGCAAATACAGTGACTTTTCTCTTTGCTGTTCACTGTTCTGGTTACCCAGTTGTGTCACTGAGAAACAAGTTGAGTAGAGGTGCTTGCACCTGTCCTACCCAGAGGTGAAATGGACAGTGGCAGCTTGAAGGGAGCCTGCTGTTGGAGGCAGGCTCAAGGTGAGCCCACAATGGAAGAAACTGCTCACAATTTTGTTTTCAGTTGGTGGCTCAGGTTACCCATAAAATAAAGCCAACTGCTACACTTCTAGGAAAAATATTTTGTCTTTGCTGTGCCTGCCTTGCTGTTTAGTCCACCAATGTGTTCCAGACCCTGGCTTTAAGTTCCTGGCATGTCTGACAACCTTTAAGTTCACAAATATTCATACCATCTGATCTGTCTCTGTACTACAGACTCTTGAAATGCAAAGTTTCTGAATGAAATGATTTGACTAAAGCCCATTTTCTTAATTAAAATTAGTAAACATAAAATGGAAGCAAGGGGCTGCCTAGTTCAGCTTGTTTTACAGGGCTAAAATCTAAGCTTTTTGATTTTAGATGCCACTTCTCTTTCAATCAACAATGAGTTGAAACATTTTAAAGAACGATGGATGGCTATACCATGGATCAAATGGCAGGCTAAAATCAGGGGACAGGCTAGACAGAAATGGAATATTAACATTTTGCCTTAACCTTTTGATTTTTGTGGGCAGTTCTCAAATCAGTCAGGGAATGTGGATGCAAACCAGCAGTTGCAGATGGCATTGGATGAGAGGGCGAGCCTGGAAACCCAGATTGCTCAGGTAGGTTATTAATACATTAAGCACATCGATGATCCAAATCTGGAAAGAAATTTGTGTGCCAGAATACAGCCTGTGCTTTCCTTTAAGTAGTCAGCCATCCTTTAATTGATCAGTTGGTACAATTTTCCTTGTTTTGTTTTTACCAGCTTTCAGAGTCGCTTCAGCAGCTCCAGGCAGAAAGAGATCAGTATGTAGAGAAACTGAAGGAAGAGGGGAGCATTTGGCAGCAGCGAGTCCAGCAGCTCTCTGAGCAGGTAACCTCACAGGCAGAGCCACAGCTGCCTCCAATGAACACAGGTGTAACATTGCACCATGAGCACTGCTTTAACTTGAGCTTGTGTGGCCCTGCAGGTCCACACAATGGCAGAGGAGAAGGAGAAGCATATGGCCCAAATTCAAGAGCTGGAAAGCAGTGTTACAGAGCTGCTGAGCAAATCAGGTAGGACTTCTGAAGTGGGGCTTCATACTGCAGAGCAGCAGCAGGTCAACTCTGTCCCCGCTGTGCAAGTATCTGTGCATGTACAGGTAGGTCTGATGCTCTCAAATCATGAAGAGAGCTGAAAGACTGGTAGTTCTGTGAAACCTTTAATTCTAGCAGACAGCAAGCGAGCTACTTCCAGTGACTGACCAGCAAATGGTTTGTGTCTTTAGTTACCTGTCTGGCTGTACTGTTAGGCCCATGAGGCTGGGCAGGCAGGATTCCTGCTGGGGCTGAGAGAGGGAGTCAGCAGCACGCAGCAGGACACTGTGTGGTTTCGGGGTCCTTTGCTCCTCTCAGTGCCCCATTCCTCTGGATACTGCAGCTGGTGGTGCTTTCTGGGTCACAGAGTCCTGCGGGTTGGGATATGTTCTGCACAGCTCCGTGTGCTTCCCAGGTGATTCAGCCCTCTGACTGATCTGCTTTTGATTCCATTTCTTCAGCAATGAAACCCATGGATGTTGAGCCATCTTTACCAGCAGGACCTACAGCAGCTGAGCTGAGTCTGCAGGAAGAAATCCAGCGAATGCAGCACGAGAAGGAGGAACTGCACGGGCAATACCAGGCCCAGGTCCGTGACAACGAGCAGCTGAGCCACCTCAACAGGGAGCAGGAGGAGCGGCTGCTGGAGCTCGAGAAGACGGTGCAGCGCTACAATGAGGAGTCTGTGGACAGACAGCAGATCCTGGAGAGCATGCAGAGTGACAAGGCCACCATCAGCAGGGCGCTGAGCCAAAACCGGGAGCTGAAGGAGCAGCTGGCTGAGCTGCAGAATGGGTTTGTCAAATTGGTATGTCTCTTCTCATGAATCTTTTCTCGCTATTTCTCACGTTGGCGCAATCGTTTTGTAGCACAGATGTAAAAAAAGCTACTGTCAGAAGCATTGTCTGCCTTTTGTCCCTTAGGGTTATGAATGCTCAGCTTTCTGTGGTATGTATTGCCATACCAGGAAGTGCCCTCTAATTCCTTACTCTCTCAGGTGCTCTGGCAAACAAACCAGTATCTCTGCCCAGAGCTGTTTCCTTTTTCTTCTCTGCTGGCAGTCAGGCTGTTTCTTTCCACTGAGTATTCTTCCAGCTTTGCTCATGAAGAAGAAATTCTCAACAGTCTTCTGTCCTCTTGCTGTCATTGTTTCTGTCCTGAAGCTGAATTCTTACTCTTGCTTCTTTTAACAGTTTCCCCTTTGGGGTTATGGCATATAACACACGATCTGGTCACTGTTTTTTCTTCAGATCTTTCTGAACTTGTCTTCTTGGTTTTGAATGTCTATTGCTTTATTTGGGATGTTCATGTCACCCATCTGCTTTGGATCTGACAGGCTGTGTGATGTGCCAGGCCCCTTCTTGGCACTGTCCCAGCACTGATTTTCCCCCCCCCCCTTGCTCTTCTCCCATCTTCTCAGCCTTTTTTAAAGTTAATTACTGCCCTTATTTACAGCTCAGAGCAACACAAAGGATGGCATCCCACTGCATCAGGAATTTAATTTATGAGATATACTTTTGAGGTGTACTTTTGGGGCAATTTCCTTCTACAACGTTTTTGATTCTTGCAGACAAATGAAAACATGGAGGTTACAAGTGCCCTGCAGTCAGAGCAACACGTAAAGAAGGAGCTGGCTAAGAAGCTTGGGCAGCTGCAGGAGAACCTGGGGGAGCTCAAAGAGACGGTAAGCAACAGCAGTAGGATGGCAGGGCAGGTGTGCAGCAGTTCATGCAAAGGAGAGTTGGCAACTGATCAGACTTTGATGGAAAGATGGAAATTGGTGTTGGTAACGATCACGCTGGGAGCCCTCCCGTGTCATCTGCTGTCTGATGCGGGGGACCAGCATGTGGGCACAGATGGTGGCTGCCTGCCTCGTTGGTGGCTCTGGGGCAGCATTGATGGTTTGGATCATGCCACACGAGCCATCGTCTTTTCTGGCAGAAATGATTTGATCTGATGGTTTTATCACGTTTTTGTTAGCTGGAACTGAAAACGCAGGAGGCTCGGGCTCTGCAGGAGCAGCGCGACCAGTACTACGGCCACTTGCAGCAGTACACTGTGGCATACCAGCAACTGGCTGCTGAGAAGGAGGAGCTGCAAAAGCAGTACTTGCTTCAGACCCAGCTGATGGACAGGCTGCAGCACGAGGAAGTTCAGGGGAAGGTGACAGTGGAAATGCACCTGAAGGAACTGCAGCAGACCAAGGTAATAATGAAGAGGGGCAAGTGGAAAGACTAGAGGCAAAATGCTTAATTACATGACAGAGAGGTGAATTAGACACTGATGATAATTGTCTGGAGCAGAAGCACTGGTGGTTTTTGTTTGTATGTTTGTTTTTGTGGTGCTACTGATAGTTTGGCTTATGCAGGTCTTGGTGAGGGACCTTCTTACCGATGTTCTGCTTCTTTCTTGCAGGAAAGTCTGGAAGCTGTAGCAAAGGAAAACAAAGAGCTGCAGGCCCAGATCAGTCAGTTAGCAGCAGAGCTGGATGGCAAGATGCTGCACAGACTAGAAGGTGTGTAACTTCAGCTGCTCTCCAGGGATGGGAGGTGCAGCTGGGCTCTCTGGGGTGTGATTTCTTTGTTCACCTCCCTTCGTTTACAGGGGATGGAATCGAAAGTGAAGTGATGTCTGAAGAAATGAAAAACCCTTCGTTTGTGATCCCAGAGAAGTTTGAAAGCCATGAAGAAATGGTGGGTCTCAATGGGTAGAAAAGCCTTTGTTCTCAGTTGTGAACTGTTGTCTAGAGGAGGCAGATTAAATTGCAGAGGTTCCACAGTGTGTATTAAGGTGTTTATCAGCTGTGATTCCTGCAGCTGAGGCACAGGGAAGTGTTGCAGTCCCTTTTACAGCAGCAAAAGAACCAACAAGATTTCTACAGTATAGTTGAAAAACAAGTTGGAAGTCCAGCAATGGTTTTAATTACAAAGGCAGCTCAGCTGGCAGAATGGCTCTAACTATTGTGATGATTGATGTTCTCCTCACTTTGGAAGGCAATTTGGAGATGGTGTTGAACATGACTAATTCTTTCTGTAAGTGTGGTTGTAACCAGACAATACTGTGATCAAACAGTTATTGTGGGAATTCAGGTTTAACCTGCAGAGAAGAAATGATTACAAATCATTTCTTGAGAACGAGAAGACATGCAGCAGTTGCTGCCTGGGTTAGTCCTATGGGTTTCCTATCCATAAATAAAATGGGGTGAACTTCTGTTATTCTCTTTACCCTGAGAGGCACATTTGGTCACGCTTCACACAGGATAATCACTAACATGAGTCCTCTGAAATTCACCTTAGGTGACTTTCTTGACATCTGCCATGTCCCAAGTGGAGAAGGATCGAGAAGAGATGAGGCAGCAGCTGGCTGCTCAGAGACAGCAGTGCAGAAACCTCCTGCAGCAAATAGCAGCTCTTCGGCAGGAGCAGCAGCATAACATCGTGAGTGAAGGTAAATTTTGTGCAGTTTGGGTGTGGAGATGTGCCCCAACCTGGCCCTGGCCTCTGTGAAACAGACCTGTGGGCTTTGTGAATGAATCGTGCTTAAGCAGGTACTGTAAACTGCCAACGTCCTTTCCAGATTCCACTATGGACAGTGTTCCAGTGGAGGTTCATGAGGCTTTAAAAACTGCCATGGAGAAACTACAGGTAAGCAAAGGATCTCCTTTCTGCTCCTCTGCCTCACCTGGCTAGATGTGCACCCAGTGCCAGACTCCTGAAGCACACATACATTGCAGGGGAATAAGCAGCAGATGTTCCATGGTAAGCTACTTCCCAAAAAGAGGCTTTCCTCACAACTTGTCTCATCATAGGAGAGCTTCCCCTACCCTGCCCAAACACTGTAAGGGTCTAACACTCATCCATGGTCTGTTCTTAGATAAACAGCTGAAAAACAGACTAACTTCACCCTGCTGGGATGAAGCAGCGCTTTCCAAGAACTGCAGACTGTGACCACATTTGTGCTGGTCCAGCAATGAGAAGGCACTTTGTTCCCTCAGTCCTTCTGCTTCCCAAAATGCAGAGATGCTTTGCTGTGCCTCCTGCAGCTTTGTTCCTTTTTACTATCAAATCAGAGCAGTTGTGAAGGCAGCACGACTTGTTCCCTAGGCTCAGACCGATGTGAGAGCAGGGTTCTGTCTTTAACACAGCTATTCCCATACGTGAGCAGCTGAGGTGACTCATAGCAATTTTTGTGTTCAGTCCCGTTTCACAGATCTGATACAGGAGAAAGCTGATCTGAAGGAACGGCTGGAAGAGTTGGAACATCGCTGCATACAGCTGTCTGGGGAAACAGACACCATTGGTATGTTTGCACAGCACAAGCTAGAGCTCTTGGAGCTGAGTCTGCCACGTACCAAGCAGTTCAAGTCTTGCCACCTAGATAGGCTAGGCTTCCAGTCCAGGGCTGGCTGTGCTGGATCCTCATGCAGCACAAGCTTATGCTCACAGTCAGGCTTTTACATCAATCCCATTTATTCCTTATGCTTCTGTTGTGTTCCAGGGGAGTATATAGCACTATACCAGAGTCAAAGGGCTATCCTCAAACAGCGGCACCAGGAGAAAGAAGAGTACATCAGCAGGCTGGCTCAGGACAAAGAAGAGATGAAGGCAAGGAATCTCTTTTGTAGTCCTACAAACACAGTGTACTCTTGTAGGCAGGCCTGAGGGACTCCTGCACAGTGTAAACCTTATGTTGTTCTTCAGCTAGCTTTAATGTTGAAGTTGTAACAGTGGCAAAACAGCAAGCTGTAGCGCACTGTTTGTGGCCACGGGGATATGCATGCTTCTGAAGTTTCCTTTGCTGGTGCAGATGAAATTACTGGAACTGCAGGATTTAGTGATGCGTCTGGTCAAGGAAAGAAATGAGTGGTACAGCAAGTATGTAGAAGCTGCTCAAAACCCAGAGCTGTTAGCAAGCCAGAATGAAAATGCACTTCCAGTGGAGAGGCGCATCGAACTGAACGCTACTGATGGAGAAGGTAAGCTGGAGACAGGACAAGTTATATCAGGTGGAATAACCCAAGTCTCTGTGCATGGATGGGAGGAGTTACCTGCCTGCTGTGTCTTGTGTGCCTTACAGGGTTACGAGAAGTGAATTTAGCAGATGAAGCGGAGCAAGACGCTGCTGCTCTTCATCAACCCGGTTTCTACCCTATTGACACTAAAGCTGCTCAGCCAAGCCAAGAGGACCCTACAGCAAAGCAAATAATGCAGCTTCTCAGAGAAATCCAGAACCCTCAGGAGAGGTCGGGCTCCTTGCTGGAAAACCCCTGCATTCCGTTCTTCTACCGTGCTGATGAGAATGATGAGGTCAAAATCATGGTGGTTTAAGTAGCACCGATTCTTATTTACAGAGATTTTTCTGTGAGCCTGTAAGGACTAAACTGACTTGTATGTGCCCATACTGCTGCTCAGCACCCTTGGTCAGAACGGTGATCTGCTCTAAAAACAGCAGGAAAGAGGGACTGCATCACATGGAACTCAGCATCATTCCTTCTCTTCCCTCTGTTGCTTGGTGTGCTTGGAGCACAGGCTGAGTGGTGTTGGCTCTCCAGCTGGGCCTGGTGCACGTTGGGGGGAAGGGACTC